GTTTTGACTAAATACATGTAATATGAGTTTAGTCTTGCCATGTCCACAATGTGAAAAAATAGTTTTTTATACCATTTGATTGATTTTCTGAGGCTGTCTACACAACTCAAAAGCATATCAGCTTTGTCAATGATACGCATTTTTCGGGTATGGTCAACCACAGCTTCTGGCTTCCTTATTGGCTCACCGGTAGAGTAATCTCTTTCCTCAGTTTGAATAATCTTGTTTTCGTGAATTGATGTTAACATATGGCAGACCACTTGAAGCACATCATGTTGTTCTTGTGGCAAGCACTAACTTCCCCCCGGTTGACTGCAGGGAACGAAGGCACCCCTTTTCTGTTTGGTCGAACTGTGCCACAAGCTCCTGTACTGTTTTGCTGCAGGTGTTCAAACAGAATTGGACTGGCGTAATAACTATCTGTGAAAAGATTATGTCCTTTCCCCAGGTATGGTTCTATCAAAGCGTTGACTATCGAACCAGCAAAACCAAATTTTGTTAGCCAGGGGCAAATACTCACTGGTCCCTATGTGCGCTAGATAAGGAAATAAGAACTGGATACCACTTGATGCGTATGTATGAGAATTTCAACATTTTTGATGCAGGTGAATATTGTTCATATGTAGAAAACTTCGGCGTAATTTTATATAATTTGTATATAAATGTCTGTGATAGGACATGTGTGGATTTGTGCACACAAGTCCGTGTGTATTATGAACAGTAAGTTTAGGGCATCTGTATAATTATTCTCCCCCCCCTCCCTTTCTCTCTCTCTCTCTCTCTCTCTCTCTCTCTCTGCCTTTCTCTCTTTCTCTCACTCTCTCTCTTTCTTTATCCCCCTTTCTGTCTCTCTCTTTCTCTTTCTCTCTCTCTCTCTCTCTCTCTCTCTCTCTCTCTCTCTCTCTCTCTCTCTCCCTCTCCCTCTCTCTCTCTCCGCTCTTTCTCTCTCTCCTCTCTTTCTCTCTCTCTCCGCTCTCCCCTTCTATCTCTCTTTCTTTATCCCCTTTCTGTCTCTCTCTCTCTCTCTCCCTCTCCCTCTCTCTCTCCCTCCCTCTCTCACTCTCTCCCCTTCTATCTCTCTTTCTTTGTCCCCCCTTCTGTCTGTCTCTCTCTCTCTCTCTCTCCTTCCTCTCTCTCTCTCCTTCCTCTCTCTCTCTCCGCTCTTTCTCTCTCTCTCTCTCTCTTTCTTTCCCCCTCTCCCTTTCTTTCTCTCTCTCTCTTTCATCTCTCTCTCTCTCTCTCTCTCTCCTCTCTCTCTCTCTCTCATCTCTTTCTTTCCTTTCTCTCTCTCTCTCTCTCTTGTAAGAAAGTATGAGAGAGAGAGAGAGCGTAAGAGTGAGAGAGTGCGTAAGGGAGTGAGTGAGTGAGAGAGCAGACAGAGAGAGAGAGAAAGAGAGAGAGAGAGAGAGAGAGAGAGAGAGAGAGAGAGAGAGAGAGAGCAAATGGCCCACTGATTATTTACACAAACTATAAATCAACGCATATTGAACTGTATCTAAAACAATAAATCAAGTAATCTTCGATTCGTCTCAAAAGAAATCTATGTTGGTGTTGATTTTATATTTCCGGGGACCATCGGCACTGTAGTACATCGGTACTTGGGAACATTAGCATCGGGGTTGTGTGCATCAGTGGATCAGAATGTCTGGACGAAAGTGAACATTTTCACAATAGCATGTGTATGTATTGGCCCACAATAGTTTAGAATATAACGAATAATTCTAATATAATAGATTGTATTACATTCAAGGTCATGTGATATGTAATCTCTAATTACTTCATTTTGGATATTCAAACCTAATATGAGAAATTTATCACGATCAAATCTGTCTCTTCGACATAATTGCAGCGGTAATTAGCGGCTGATTACGCGTTGACCATCCGGAGAGATTTTCCCGCCAAAAGTTTCGTACATTTCTCCCCTCGCGCGAAGGTTTCGAGTAATTTATTCAAAATAAATCTTACCACTATAAAATAATAAAGTCTTAAAACAATGAAGGCAAATGAAAAAAAACAACAACAATATATAACACATACAGAACACAATAATGAAAAAGGAAACATTTTTTTAAATATAATTTAACGGACACTCGCTTGAGCCGGCCGTGGGGAGAGTTGCCAAACACCGCTAGACAACAATGCAGCCACTTTCCAAACCCGTTATGCGATTTATAAAAAATAAAATACCTGAAAAATACGAATATAAATTGAATGTTTTACACTTTAGTTCTGAAGGAAATAAAATGATAAAGATGTGCAAATAGACATTAAGTTCTAAATATGGGAAATATAACCGATTAATAGGCAGAATATGTTGCGTTACGTACGCTGTGACGCCAGCACGAGGTGTACGGAAAGCTCCTTCACGGACGGTGTGACACCCGCAGCGAAAGGGTTACGTGGATTTGTTAGGATTAGCGAGTTCTGTAGAGTACCATCATACTGACGAGAGAAAAATTAATTGGACAAGAATTCCTTATCTTTGGGCTAAATAGGCAAG